ATATTTTTAGGTCTGTCATTCAATTAAAATACACGTGCGCACATGCAAACGCACGCATAATCAACATAATTTGAATAAAATTGAAATGGACATCAGTGTCACGAGGGCTAATTTCCCTTTGTGTCTGGCAACAACTACCGGTTAACAGGAAAAGCCGAAATGTGTGGCCCTTTATAGTTATTTTAAGACTCTTGTACTTAAACTGAATATATTTTCTAATAAACGTAATATTTTATAGGGACAAACAATTTAGTTTTGAAATTTAATCATCTTGACGTCAGCGAAGCGACAGGTAGCGAACATGTAATATTAATAATAATAATAATAATAATAATAATAATCGAGCACCCTGGACAGACAAACACAACGGGATTCGGAAAAATATGCAGAACAAAGATCATGAAAACTGCTCATAACAGAAAAGAAAATCATACAAAGAATAACAATTGAGGAAAGATTACGGAACAAACATAGGACCTGATGACGTCAGCTCCCAACTTGGTATCTATACTGATCACGCAACCATTTACTCCTGTCTCGATACTAAGTCTGATCAGTTTGATAACGTCAAAATGGCAGCTGATCTAAAAAAAAATGACCTACAGTCTCTAGTTAACTGGGGCAAAGAATGGCATGTTAAGGTTAAATAAAAGTGCTCTCTGTTAATCTTCTGTGATGACCCTTTCTTCTTCCCATCAGCGTTGCAGATGTTAACTTCTAGAGGAGTGACTCGTTGCGCTTTCTCGGGATAATATTCTCAGCTGAAGTGGGAAAATTATATTGAATCCATTACTAGGTCTATCGCTAAGAAAGTTGATTCACTCTATAATGCCAATTATTTTTCTCTCCTAAATCTACATATCTTTAAGTCTACCATTTGTCCATGCTTAGAATATTTCTGCCGGTGCTCCTGCTATATATTTAGAGATTCTTGATAAAATCCAAAGAAAGAATCAGCAATATAATTGGTCCTAGACTGAAGTATCGGCTTCAGTCACTTTCCCACCACCGTAAAGTTACCACCCTCTGCCTTTTCTATAAATATTTTTATGGTAATTGTTTTGATGAACTTTCCTCTATGGTACGTAAACTTTTTGAATTTAACCGCAATACTAAATTGGCAACAAAGTCTCATCATTTTAAAGTTGAATTGGCGAGAAGGAACCGAAAGTTCTATGCTACAGTTTTTTTGGGTTTTTTTTTTTGGTTTTTTTTTGTTTTTGTTTTTTTTTTTTCTCACATTTCTTGCTTGTGGAACTCTCTTCTGACTCCATACTTTCCCGCCAAATTTGATCTTCAAATATTTAAATGTAATGTCAATCATTATCTTCTGTCTCCCTGATTAATCTTTCTCGCTCTTTCTTAATGTTTATCTTTTTCCTTGTTCTTTCACACTCAATTCTCACACTTGTGTCTTTCTTGCTTTACTGCCTTGCATGGGGTGAAATGATTAAAAACAGAAAAAAATAGGTAAATAAAAACTCCACACGAAAATTTTAATAGGAAGATAGAAATTAAAACAAATGTAAATTTGTTGACATTAAAACAAATGTAAAGTCGTTGACATTGTAAGGCAAGGAGCATCTGCTTATTACGCTATTATTCGCCCAATACAAGGCCCAAGTGCCACCAAAGGCAGAGGATTGCTGAATGTGCTTTTTTTACGAATGTAAGAATTGTAAATGATGAAGATATATAGAATAGATAACGGTGGTGCCTAGACTTAAAAAGGTTAAGATTGTAGTGGTCAGAAAGTATCATCTTGGGAGTCATTTTTCCACAGTGCAGCGACTCTTTGGGAAGAAGCTATCCAAATGGTAATACTTATCAATGAAATACGAAGGGAATGAGAATGGTTGAAACCAGTTTAAATGGCAGAGCAGGGTCTTAGCTGTGAAGATCTGTCTGAACTGGTGGAACTAAGGAATCTAGCTCGTTAGAACATCTTCCATGGAAATGGTAGTAGCCTTACAACGTTGCGTCAGTGGGATAAGGATGGAAAATAATTCATCGCCTACAAGGCCGTATAGACGCTTTTAAACTCTGTCGAAGCTGGAAAGAGTGTGTAAGAGAGGTTATAAATCTGAGTAAATAATTGTAAAAACCCTAACATTTATATATACAAAAATACTCATAAAAATGAGAAGCAGCAAGACGTGAAAACAACAAAACAAATATTATTTATTGTCTGGTTGTTATGTGTTGTTGGAGACACGAAAGAAAGTAATACTGAGTAAAATTGAAAGTTTAGGGTCAAATAAATATGGATCAGAATCCGACAGAATAAGTAAAGTGTATACAGTCTTTTTCGTATGTTTTTATAGATGTGTGTAATAAGTGTCCAGATAATTTAGTTGGAAAGATACAAAAAGTGTCTTATGTTTTCTTACCTCGAATTTTTGTTGAGTGCTAAGAGATAAATGTTACTATTATGATCTGAAAAAGAAAAAAGAAGCCGAAGTTTTCGTTGACGCGCGTGTTGACGGCCAGTCCGTGTTGACTTCTTGTCCGATAATGAGAATGTCACGAGTTTGTGTGTGTCGAGGATAAAAATGGGTCGATTCTCGTTGTTTTAGAATGAGTGAATTAATGGTAATTAATAATTGTTATAATTATTTTATTATAATCACTTTTGACACTTTAATTTTTATTTACTTATTTTTTATGGACACGACAAAATAATAATATAATTAATTTTTTATTATATATTTCTTTATGGACACGATAAGAGGATTGGGCAGTTCTGTTGGAGTTAACTCCTCCTTAATTTCCAAATTGTCACTAGAGGTCACTCTCCATATACTATAAATACTGGGCGACTTCTCGCCTCGTTCTCTTTTTCATTTCAGCGACTACAACGTAAGCTCTCTTAGAAGATCCGCGTCCTCCCATTTGCTGGAGACGCCATGAACATTATACACACATACGAACATTCACCAAAGAATATACACCTATGTTTGCACACACACACACACTCACACACACACAAATGTTATAGTTCATTTTAAAATTGTTTTGTTTAATACATATCTTTGTTTATATATATATATATATATATATATATCGGTTTTGTTTGTCTTCTTTACATCTTCAGTTGGACTTAACTTGAGTCCAGCCATTTTCTTGTAGTTGGACCTTTTAATATTCTACCAGGAGTTACATACGTGTTTCTAATACAACAACACACAAACACACACACGGTCCTCTGCAGTTCCGACCCAGATTTGGCGGCAATACTCTTCTTTTTTAAATCTAATATGAGATACAGAATCTTTGGTTATTGCAACCCAAAATAAATGCATCAGCATCACTGATTATGTCAATCACAAAAATAAACAAAACGGAGGAGGGGGAAGCAAACTTCGTCTTTGTAGTAAAACCACATTTTAAATGAATATAGCCAACTGGTTCAAATAGGCAAAGTAGGAACACTTATACAGGGAAAACTGGGGCACCTCGAGGTGGTGTAATGGTTAGCAAGCTTGTCTCGCTAGAACTATTACGGCTGAGTAGTGAGTTCGATTCTCACTGGGTGCCCCCTAATTTCGGCCTTGTGCCACATCTAAGCTATGCTTGGAAAATCACTATACAGGGAAAACTGTGCTAATGAGTTCAGTTTGACAATGAATTTTAAAATAAATTTCACTTACTGGCGAAAACGTTTGGTTGCCACTACTTTTTATTTGAACTAAAAATTTCATGGCCCGAGGATGTGAGCAACCATGAGGTCTTGGAGAGGGTGCAAACAACGAGGAAGCTTATACTTGACATGAGGAAGAATCAGATGAAAATTCTTGGGCAAGTAATGAGAAAGGAGGGCCTGGAGAATCTGATGCTCACAGGGAAAATAGAGGGAAAGAGTGACAAGGGTGTGCGGATCTATTATGCACGAACATACATACATATATACATAAATACATACATACAAAAATACAAATCACATACAACGCCAAGCATTCATTGGGTAATCAATCACCACTACAATTAGGCAATTTACAAATCGCAGCAATGCGACAGTTTTGTAATAGCTCTATTTTTATATAGTCAGATTTGTGCACTTTTGAGAGAAAAAGATCACAGAAGCTTTCTTAAGTTTCCCCAAATCTCGCTCGCTGATTTGTCTATGCCAACCATTCAGTCAGATAGCCTGCACGTGAAGAATAATTCTTCCCGCGCAGCGATCTGGAGCCTATAGTCACTTATTTAAGCAAGAATTTTCTAACCCTGATTCTAGTGAGAATTAAGCTGCTAAACAAATCCACGACAGTTGAAACCATGCGCCAACCTTCTCACTCACACACACACCACTCACATGCTGAACATACCTTGTATCTCCACTCACATAATCTTTTCTAACACGGCAGATCTTTTAAGAACAGTTATTATAAGAGACTCTCATGAACATTATTCCAGTGAACTTTGAAATACTAAAATAACAGTTAAAGAGAGACAATTCTTGTTTATTTCAACCTTTTCTTACTTAAATGCATGCTTTCTTTCACATCGTTGTTTGATATTGTACATCTTGTTAAATACATATTTTATGTGTAACAATGTCTTTTGCTTATCCATTTCTGCGTCAGCCCTGTTTCCTAATCTAAAGTTAAATTAATGTGAAGTCTGCCACAAGGGAAAGCGACGCGTGAAAAACCTAGTGGGCTTAAGCAAGCGGATGACAAAACAGGATCTGGGAGAAGTAGCAAAGGGACAAAACTATTATTATAAGGGATAAGGGGGAAGTAGACAGCCATGATCGCCTACGTCCTGAAAGAACATAGCATAAAAAGAAAAGAAAATGACCGCGACAAAACTTTTCTGGACTTTCAGGTTCTGGTTAAGCACTAAAACTGGATTTGTTTGTGAACAACGAAGTAAAATAAATCCACCATAACGTTTTTGAGATTTTTGGTAAATAAGAAATGGTGAGAACAGTTTTTTTTTTTTTTGTTTTTGTTTTTTTCAATTTGGGAGCAAGATATTTCAAGACAAGATTGAACTGAATGACTACCTTGAGTGAGAGTAGTTCCCAATTTATAACCATAGGCCTACAAAAGGTCGCATTCTTAAGAACGAATCACATCTTAAGAGAAGTCCTCTTTTCTTGCAAAATAACACCTCTTTCTCGCTCAGTCTATATCTATCTATCTATCTATTTAGTCTCAACAAAAATAAATTAACTGTTTGGTACTAGTAAAATCTCTAAGAGTAAGACCATGTGACAAGAACGAAAATTAAATCAAGGGGCGTAACTCTGAAATTTTTCTTATCTCTTGCATGAAATAAACATGGCTGAACATGCGGCGCATGTGACAGCAACCAGTTTTTCAGTAAGACCATCTATATTTGAAATTCTTGCACAGGATGGATTGAACAGAATCATTCAACCTGCAGTAAAACATGCAGCGCGGGTAAGAATCATGTACTTTACAAATGATCAAATCCTTTAAAATGAATAAAAATAACCTTCAAGCGGTGTTCTCTTAAATTTTGTCCCATTTGTTTGACAAATGTGCTTCAGTGCTAATAATATACACTCGATTTCTAAGTTATGTGTATATTCTAAAAAATAATAGCATGTTGTTCCTAGTATATAGTCTGCTTTAATAAAAAAAATATTAAAAAAAAACGTAATCTAAATTTTGATTCTTAAATTGTTTTGTCACTTAAATTTATCCACATTCATTTAATTCACCTGTTTTTAGTTTCTTGGAACAACTACAGTACACAAATGCTTTTCTACAACTCGATCGGTTTATAAATCAAATTAGGATAAAAATTTACAGATGGTATTTATACAAAAATATAAAAATTATACTTTGACAACAATTTCATTTTAACTAGTCGTCTATTTTGAAGAAAATATAGAGTTATAAAAAAAATTTAAAAAAATGTCCTACGGCTACTAGAGAAATAACCATTTTTATTTTTTACTTTTTATCACTTCCAGATCGCGAATATAAAAAAAAAATAGTAAGTTTTATAAAATTTAATAAAGGAGACCAGTTTGCCATGTAAACTTACTATAAAAAAAAAAGACTTCAGATTACGAATTTCCAAAAAAAAAAAAACAATCGTTCTACATAGAATCACGTCATATGAGCATATTTGTTTTGGCTTCCGTAGGGTGTGAGAGTTAATTTACTATAAATTTACATAGCAAACTGGACCCCACTAATCACTTTTATAAAATTTATTAAACTAGAGCGCTCAATCTATAGATTCTATAGAAATTCAATAAAAATTTGAGAAAAAATGATTATTTCTGTTCACAGTGCCAATTATTGTACAATTGTCCCGAAACTGTTTACGAAAACTACTGATTTATAATATTTGATATTTGTTAAGAATTCGATATGTAAGATTTCTAAAAATAACATCAAGAAAGAACTCAGCAACATCAAGTCTGTCATATGCCTAGAACCTAGTAAAAAGAAAAAAGTAGGAGGAGTTTCAAGGAGAGGGAGAGGATTTCATTTCTCCTATCTTATTTACAAGTATTTTTAAAGATGTTAATGAAAAACACAAAACTCTTGGTCAAAGTGAAATTTATAAATAAACATTTATTAAAATGACAAAATATTTTTTTACACTATATAATTTGTACAAATTACAATATGGGTATTAGAAAATGTTTCCCTTGTGAACCTCAAACTATCAAGATCAGTTAAAAGTTCTTTCAAAATACAAATTTGTTTCTCTTACAAAACACCATTTCATGTAAAACAAATGATTTTCATTAACTACAATGGAATTTTAATAACTATCTTTCTGGGCATCAGTTCATATAAATCAATTTCTTAGCAACAAAAGTTCTAAAAGTTCATGAAATCAAAATTCAAAGGTCAAAAGTCAAAGAGGATGAGAAAAGGTTCCCTACCTCAGGCAAAAGTGGTTCTCTGTGTCCTTTAGAAAAAATATTCAGGGTATCAGAACATTTGTCCTCAAATATGAGATAAACTCTCACACATTTATAACAGGCATTCGAATAAGATAAACTCTCACAATTTTAGAAAAGGCATAGAGAATTTGCATCAGTTTTAAGGGATATTCTTTTTTCATTTTTTCTTTCATTCTTCTTCAGCAGCAGCAACAGTAGTATTAGTACTCTTTCATATGCCAGATTTTGACCAGATGGTCAAACATATTCTGTTCCCAAATCACATTTTTTGCCCAGGTGTGGTCTATTCCTTTCTCACCCACAGGAGAAGTTTTTCATCATCTCAAGTCAAGCTTTCTCACCTGAGTCATCCCTTCTCATCTCAGATCAGTTTTTTTCACTCAGTTGTGGTTTATACTTTTCCAACTTTGCACTCAAAATTATACAGCAAACAAGTGACTCCAACTAGATCAACAACCAACTCCTTAAGAGGAGTTAATTTTTATCCCCATTTCTTAAAAACTCAAGAATCACTATCCAATCAAACTGTGTTAGCCTGCCATTTAAATTTGTTTTTTTGCATCAACTTTATTCACATCCTCTGTAAAATTTTTCCACAAAATTTTTAAACTATCTGGCTTCATTTTGACATTTCCTTTTTATAAACCATCTGTTTTCATTTTGGCAGTTTCCTTTTCAAAAAAACTGTGTTAGTAATAGTCTAATTTTCTTAATTAGTTTTTCATACAATTCAATATTACATTTTAATAATAATAATTTTATATTCATTATTACTCATTCAAACATTTGAATTATTTTTTTCTCATAGAATTTTAATATAATTTTTTATTAAAATTACATTTTTATTTTAGTGAGGAATAAACTCAGTACCAATTGTCTACTAATTATCACTTTATTTATGCTCACCCACTACATTATCATTTATATTATAAACTTTAATTTTTAAAATAATCCCGATTTATTTCTGAAGAAAGTTATTTTCTCATTTGCTGTTTCTCATAATGAAAGACAAAAATCCAATTGTGAGGGAAAAATCTTATTTCACATGTTTATGGTTTTTTGAACTGAAATAGTGGATTTTTTCTAAAAAAAATTTTTTTTTTCTAATTTGGTCTACATTGTCTGAATAATACTGAACTTCTTTGGAAATTTCTGGGAAAAGATGTTGCATTGAGTGAAGTATCTCTGAATCAGGGTTTTGATTTGCAAAATGACAGCAGACCCAGACACTTTATCAATCTTTATTCAAATGTTTTATTATTTTCAAGTATGGAAGTCTAGAAAGAACAAAAAATATTAAGCTGAATTTTCTTTCTTTGTCAAAAATAATTATTTAGAGTGAAAATTTGGAGTTGCTTTTTTTCTTTTTTAATATTTTTTTAAAAATAAGTTGCTAGTTGCAACAATATATCTTATGAGTGTCCAATTCTGTAAGCCGTCTTTCCTGATGATGTGTCTTGAAATTTCAGCCTTCTCTTTCTGATTCCATGTATAAGCATCCTTTTTGTCTCCATTTTCCTTGATATAAAAATACACAACAAAAAATATTTTTTCATTCAAAAATCACCTGCAACTTTAATTCATGCTTTTCCCTAAAATCATTAGTGACCATTTGTTTAATCATCATTGACCTTTTGTGTAATCATCAGTGACCTTTCATTTAATCATTAGTGACCCTTCATTTAAACATCAGTGACTTTTTGTTTAATCATCAGTGACCTTTCGTTTAATCATCATTGACCTTTTGTTTAATCATCAGTGACCTTTTGTTTAATCATCAGTGACCATTCATTTAATAGCATCTTTCCAAAACATGCATCTGTTTCGAGATTGGAAACCTAATTCTGTTGGGAATGTGCAAAATGCAAATATCTCAGAATGTAAATTAAAAAGCAGCTAGCAGACATGTTCATATCTGGCACAAACAAAATGAAAAAATTAAACAAGAAATAGTTTTAATTGTGGAAGGTATCAGTCTCCCATACACAAAGATTATTATTAACAGTGTATTTTTTCAAAAAATATTTAAGGACTGGGGGAGAAAAGGATTAGGATTGTAGCTTCTAGAAGTTTTCAAATGAATTGATCATTTTATATGAAATGGTTTTTATAACTTTTAGTTCATGGAGTGAAAAAAACGGAAAAAACATTTCTCTCAATTACCTTTCTCTTCAGTCTCTCTCTATTTTTCACTTCAGAGAAAATTAAAAAAGTAAAAACATATGACTTATTCAGACTGATATTCTCACTGTTTTCATCACTCAGCTTACCATTTTAATTTCTAAGACCCATACTAGGGCAGTTTTCAGATTTTATTATAGTTCTTTTTTTATGATTATACCTATAATAATATATGCTAGACTACAACTCCATGTTTATGGGGCTGTTAGTGCTCAAACAATTTGAGTGACAGCTTTCAAAAAGAATGAAACACAACCTATATTATTTTAATATATTTAATAATATCCAAAGAAAAAGAAGTGCTTGTGGACAGTGTGCATCTGCAGATTTAACTTAGAATACATCTCTGGTTATCTTGGCAGCAGTCCTTGTTGAAGAACAGGTACCTTTAAATCCTTGGCTAGCTTCTGAAGATAAGAGTAATCTCTCTTAAGGTTGCCAGCTCTGTTTTTCCATAACCAGATGCCACTGCTTGTGATTTGTAGTGAAGAAAGCAGCCTTACTTCATATTGTCTGAGTAACATGGTGGAAGAAAAAAATTGATGATTATATAGTCAATGTCATGTGACCCTTCCAGTAGCAGTGATTGGCCCTTTCTTTAACTAATCAGTATCCTTGTTTTGCTGTGCTTGATTAATCCTATTTTTTCATTGATTATTTTAAATTCCAATTGTCTTATATATATGATAAAGTGTTTTTATGACCTTAAGCTTCGGGGCTGCTACAAAAAAATTAATACTGATAGCTTCTATTATGAGTACAGACCTTTTCCAAGCTGGACATAGAGTAAGCTTATTTATTATGATATTCTAAGCAACAGATTCTTCAACCACCATCCCTCAGAAGTAGATTCCAGATAGTTCTGTTAACCTTTGTTAGGGATTCATCAAAGCAAATCTCAGGCATTGCTTTCCTGTAGCAGAAAAATATTTTCAGGTGCCACAAGTCACAGGTCAAAAAGCATCAACAAACACATCACACACTGACAGCCACTGTCAGATTCGAGCTGCTGGTCTCCCGAAAAAGCCAGAAGTATATATATATATATATATATATATATATATATACCTAAGCTGCCCACACCATCCTGGGTATGACAACTACATCCATGTCCTGGGTAAGACGATACACTATGTCCAACAGCAAGGCCTCTTATCAGGAGGTTTTGAGGAGTTGGAACCACGTCTTAATTGCTAGTGTTCCCAGGTCCACACTAACCTGGGGTGGTAGCACCTGTTAGGGTCCCAGCTATGGGCAAATAGTTAACACCCAAACTTGTCTAAAAATATGTTTTAATACCAGAAATACTTTGTAATAAAAAAATTATTACCAGCAATAATTTTTGAAGGAAAAATTATTATCAGCAATACTTTAAAAAAATACCAGCAATACAAACAGCTATACATTCTTTCGAAAAAATATGACCAGCTATAGATTTCTTCAAGGAAAGATATTCCTGGAAATAGATTTTTGAAGAAAAACATTACTAGCAATAAAAATTTTGTCTGCACCCATTGAGGTTGATATGCCGTAAAACAAAAACCAATCCAAACCATAAGCTGTCCACAACTTGTCAAACACACATTTGCTGCCAATCTCTCTTTGAAAAAGATTTATAAATAAGGTTCAGATTTTTCAAATATTTTAGACAAGATACACACAACACATGAGGATTTCAATTGGCAAGGTAAGTTGCCATGTTGTTTGTTACATTTCCAGATCCAGAACTAGTCACTTCTTTCTTATAAATATGCAAAAGAAATGCAGTAAATATCAACTTTTGAGGGTTTTTTTTTTTTTAATGTTTTCTGGTTGATATTTTTCAGATTGTTGCTGAGCAAAATCCAGAAAAACATGGCTGGATCTTGAAATATTTTGATGAAATTTATGCTGGCATGGATTTCCTAATTGAAAATTATTATCTTTATAAATATGGTAAGCTTTGACTCAAGCTTTTATGGTTGAAGGCAAAATGAAATAAAAATGTTTTTTTTTGTTTTTTTTTACCCCAAGCAATGACTATTGTCACCCACAAGTGTACAACTGTCTCAGCTTCTCTTAATATAAATATCATTTTTTCCTGTAAATTTCTCTTTTGTAACAGCATTTTTAATACAAGGTTGTTGGTCAAAAAGAAAATTTAAATTACCTAAATGACCTGAATCAGAAAATTAAAGGCAATGAAGTCTATTAACAGGTCATTCATGTAATTTAAATTTTCTTTTTGACCAACAAAAATATGGGCATGTGGCCGAGTGGTTAGAACATTCGTATTCTGACCATGAGACCCGGATTCAAATCTCACCATGGTCAATTTGTCAGGAAGGAGACTTCCTCATGTTATTGGACTGGAGGGGTTGATCCTAGCGTGCAGCACCTTTGGAAAGTGCCATGGGTTGATCCAAGTTTTGTGAGTGAAAATGGGTTGACAGAATCCTTGGGGGCCATTGATAGCTGTGCTTGCACAGTCACAAGGGCTTGAGCATGCTGGCCTTGTTCAAATTGTTGATAATGCTAGGTAACATGCTCTTTCCCAGAAACTATAATTAACATCTGCTCAGCATAGTTGCAGTATAAACCACAGGTGGGATTCAAGAAGACATGGTGATTGACATTGCTTTTAAATTTTTGAAGATTGTAGTTTTCAGGGAAGCAAGTAAATGGAAGGATGTTCCACAAGCTGGAAGCACAAGAAAAAGAACTGTTGACATAGAAGTTTTGGTTACATTTAACTATTTCAACAATTAAAGGGTGGAGCGTAGATGCCAATCTAGTAGCACGCTTAAATTCATGCAGTCGGGTCACCAGGGGAAAAAAGCTTATCAGAGCAGTTGCCATGAAAATATTTGTAGAAAAGACAGAGAGAAGCCACATCACATTGGTGAGAAAGTGACTACATTGCAGATCCTTCTTTGGATTTTGTCAAGAACCTCAAGATGAATAGCAGGAGCACCAGACTAACAGTATTCAATGCATGGACGAACTTTCTGGCACAACACAGTGAACCAACTTTCCTTGCAGTAGATACAGCTATTGATTCAATATAGTCGTTCCACTTAAAATTACTTGAAAATGTGAGGCCAAGAAGGTGCAGTGTGTTGCTCTGCAGGAGTCTAGCATCAGCCATGCTGACTGCGGGCAGGAAAGTTTCTCTATGTTGCCAGGTTGACATTGCAGAAGCTGATATATATATATTTTTCAACCAATAAAATCCCATCAGAAAGTTTGTTGAATAAACAGTTATTACAAGGGCAAATACTGCCAAAATACTTGGCGGATATAATTGTAAACCTACCATTTGTTATTTTTGGACCATTTAGAAATTAACAATGATAATTCCCTTCACAACTCCTGTAAATTTGAGAAAAAGATATTCACAAACCAGAATGAAATTATTTTCCAATGAAAACCTTGTATTCAAAAAGTTCACATCTTATGTGAAATTAGATTTTGGATCACCCTTACAGACATAAAAATAGAAGCATACTGCTTCTCAGGGCTCAAAACAATTTTGGAGGCCAGTTTGATCTACATGTGCATACACACGCCCCCCCACCACCACCACTCACACACCACATGCTCATACACAGTGGAAGAGATGAGTCAGCAGTTCCTAAGGCCTTGTCCACACACTCATAAACTCATTAAGCTGACTGTTATAAAGTAAGTCTGTCCACACATTCCACATCACACTATGAACACTTAATTACTTGATAAAACAAACTTTACTGCAAGGAAAATTCAACATTTTATTGTAATTTTATGTTTCAGTAAAGAATATATAAATGTCATTTCAATTGATGATGTTCGGCTTCTGCTTTTCCTTCAGAGAATAACCATATTTATATTTCATTTAAAAAATGTTTTGTTGTTGTTAAATTTTTGGAATTCTGACACTCAGCAACAAAACCTGGGCAGACAGGTCCCAACAAGCTCACTAAAATGGGATACATGACTTTACCACCTCTACCATATTCCCCTGATCTGTCACCCACTGACTACCACTTTTTCAAACATTTAAACAATTCTTTAAGCCCAAAGACATTCTGTTGCTAAAAAGATGCAGAAACTGCATTCAAAGATTTCTTGGCATCCAAACCTTTAGAGTTTTATGATAAAGGCATAAATAAATTTGTAAGTCACTGGCAGAAATGTATAGATGTTCATGTTTCCTATTTTGATTGATTTAAACATTGTTTAAATACATTCATTCAAGAATAAAGGTTGATTCTATAATTGAACCTTTACTTTTCAAACAATCTAATTATTGTTGTTACATCACAAGTCCTGTAATCCATTACGTTTGTATGGGTACTACATGCACGGCAGCCATAGAAGCATCAGTGTTTCTTGGGTAAGATATTGTGACATTCCTCTGGTTCTGAATTCAGTGTTTTCCTTCTCCTAGACTGGTTGTCACTTGAAGACAACAAAGCCAAGTTTGTCTTGCTGTTTAACGACTAGCAGAATGAAAGTTGTATTCATACCTTTGTCATGTGCTTAAGTTTTAATAACACCATTGGAAAAAAGTTCTCAATATTTGAAAATAAAATATAAATAAATAATAAAATAGGATTTTTTTTTTATCTTTTGTAGCTGGTTCATTTACCGAAAACTTTTATGGCATGAAAAGAGTTGATCAATTTCCTGTTCGACTTTTGAACCAAAGTGCTTATTGGAAATCAATTTTCTTCCTGGTAAGCCAACTTCATTTACATCACGATTATTTTACCTTTCATTTCTTTCAATTGAAAATGCAATATTTGTAATAATGTTTCAACAAAAATAGAAAATAATAGAATAGAATTTTATAAAACAGAAACAACAGGGAAAGGCAGGGCTGAAAAATATCTTCCAGAAAATGAACTGAGAAGGAACAGAAATCAGAATAAACAGAAAATATTTAGACATTCTAGGATATTCAATTTGGAACATGCTACATAACATTACATTAGGTTGTCTTCATTTAAGATCTTCACATATGTATATTCACAGATTGAGAGAATTCAGCCCTTGTAGACAACATCCAGTTAATTTATGTGTGGGCAATAATATGACGTCCAAGAACACGGATCCATACAAAAGGGCAGAGAAGATAACAGCTTTGTAGACACTGATTTTGCTTACTAGGTTAAGTGAAAGGCCTTCATATGCTGGCGGCTTTTCTCGCTATTTTGCTGGAAATGAATGGAAACTGATGGTCTTTGATTCATACCTCTTATCTGCTACATCAAGTGGGAGTGATTGATGAACATCTTCAGTCTTTTTTATCCTAATGGTAAACCCAAAAGATTTGTTTGTGATGGAAAAATGATTTTCAAGTTTCTGAGCCTCTTTAAGAGATGTAGCAACAAGTATGGCATCATCTGCAAAGAGAAGACAACGAATGGCACTAGATCTCAAAAGTGTCCTAATTCAGAACCTCTAGTGATGTAAAAGTGCACTGCACAACGAAAACTGCATCCTCACACCATTGTTCAAATTAACAAAGGCATACTTCAACATTATAGAAAAGAACAATACAAAAAGAACTAAAGCCATGATACAACTTTTTGTGCCATTAGTGATGTCAAAAAAATTCTACATCTGACAAAATGAGATCTTCATTCCCTGCTCAAAGAAAATAATGTTAAGTGTTTTGTCAGTTATACCAAAAAAAAAATATGTATATATATAATAGGTAGTGAAAGAAATCTAAGAGATAAAAAAAATAATAATATTGATAAGATATGCTATGGGATGCTTAGTATGTTTAGGGTAAAAATTTATTCACCATTATGTTGCAGGAATCAACCCTTTGGATAGTAAATATTTACAGGCTCCTGGAAAATTTATCCCACAAACAATATAGGTGGATTCGGTGTGAGTCCAAATAAAAAATGAGTAACACAAAACAAACAACAGCCTGTATTGACAAAAGTAATTTCAGTGACAATAAAAGAAGAAAACATTTAAAGACTAGTTACATAGAAAACATTTAAATTATAGAATGTGCGTTTTTGTTTGTGAAATTTGTGTAGGCCCACATGATAGACACGTGTGTGAAAGAGTTCAAAATTCAAGAGAGAAAAGTAGGACATTTTTTCCCACATGCGACTACATGTTATAGCCTGCAAAAATGGCTAGGGATTAAAATGCAAGCCTTTTTATAGTCTTAAGTAGCATCATCTAACTACGGCTTTTTATCAAAGTTAAGTGAGATAACTCACAGTATATTAGTTGGTCTTTAAACCAAATAGATACGTAATAAGAAAGACTTTAAACATCAGAATTTTTGGACTTTCTTTTCCTGGGAGTTTTTTTTTTTTTTTTTTTTCCATCTGTGTTATGTCAGTTTTGAGCTAGTTGTTTGCTACAATTAGGGTTGTAGAAAGCCTTCTGCAAAACTTCTACAAACCTAATCGTGACAAACAGCTAGCGCAAAACTATCAAATCTCTTTGGTAATATAACACATGCGGGGGGGAAATTCTCCAGAAAAAATTTTACATTTTTTTATTTCTCATCTCATTGAGAAAGGACATAGACGTGTCAGAAAACTATATTATCCATTGGTTTCTTTGGAAATATTAAAATAATTTAATGTATATTCATTTGACTCCCGACATGGCCATATTCATTCAACTCCCAACATGGACATATTCTTAAATATCGTGAGTCTAATATCATTGTAACTTCTTCCACGAAAAGCCATCTCATATCAGTTTTAGTTTGAAATGTTTACAATGCTGGGTACAATATAAATATATGACCGATACCATGATTTCATTGAGATTTTGCTTTATTAACGGTACAATGTTTCGTCCATTCTTACAGGTGGCCTTCCCATACATCAAAGAGAAATGGAAAAAGTCCTATGAAGAATTCAGGGAAAATACTTTGAAACCTGCAGGAATAGTAAGTCAATGAAATCACTTTTGACCTAACATAGCTGGAAAAAAATGACTTTTATTGTCTTGTTTTATTATAGTCACATGAAGGAGTAATGAAAAATTCTCAGCCCAACCAAGAAATCCTTCCAAAAATATTTAGTCAGTTGTTTTGAATTTAGAAAATAGTTGAGGCCAAGTAGACCCTAAGAAAAATGAATAAAATGATTTCATCAAGGGCCCTATACGAAACCCGCTCAGTTTATATGAGTTTGTTCCGTCCTTTCTGTCTGAATTTCATGAAAACAGGGTTATCATTATTTACAATATTCAAACTATTGTCCTCATCATTGTTGTTATCATAACATTTCAACCATTGTGCCCTCCAGCCTTCATCAGGTGTAATGCCAATCCAGGTAAACTACATGGAATTCAAAACTGAACCCTTTATTCAATCTATGGTGTTAGACTGTTCTCATTCCACTGCTTGTGTCTAGGGATATCTACTCTAGTTCTTATTTTTAGTACTGCTCAGTTATTGCTTACCTCCCACCCCCATTCCCACTGAAAGCAAAGTACACACAATCTGGCCCAGGGATTGAACTCACAGTTACTATGTCACCTAATTCGCAAACCAATGCTTTCATCCCTTATTATTTCATGAGACATTTCCCTGTAGAGAATGTGGAGCCTTAAACCTAACCTGCCTGTTCATTTCTTACTGAACAGATTTTGCAGGCCATTTTTCATAGATGCATTTTTGTTTTTGTAAAGAATGCTATGATTTTATAAAAGAAATACAAAAGTATGAAAAAAGAATTGCAAATAATTGATGAAGATTTTATTTTTCTATGAATTTGATATTTTGGACACCAGATGGATATTGTTCCACCAAAACTGGGGACACTAGAAGATAAGTTTGGGGTGACTGGCTAAGGTTCTTTTGGGACAATATAGAGTAGGGGTTCTCAAATAGTGTGCATTGTGCGGTGGAAGAGGATAAAAGGTGAGGCAGAATTATTGAAAGACAATCAAAGATTTTGAAACAATTTAAAAAAAAAGCATATACCAAAAATAAATATGATGTCAAAATTTAAAATATTATTATGGATTACTTGTAATTGCATGCATGAATCCCGGTATAAATAGTTATAAATAATTATTGTCCAATTTTAGCATTGTGATATCAAACCTGACAGAATTATATCAAGTATTAAGAATATAATAACTAGGGTCTTCAAATTGGAGGAGAGAGTTATCAATAATAATATTCTGACTTTGAATGTGCAGTTATCTCCCTTTAACCCTCTCTCTGTTTTTTTTGTTTGTTTTTTTTTAATTTTTAAATGTACTTTTTATCACATACAATTTGGAGGTGCATGATCAAATTTTCTTTCTGAAAATGCAGTCCAAAGAAAAAAAGTTTGAGAATCACTGATATAGAGTTTTTAATTAAATTTTATTATTCTAAAACAACTAATTTCTTAAAATAAAGAGAAAAAAAAATATTTAGCAGTGGCAGACTTATTTAATGAAACATTCATATCGCACGCACAAAAATGTTGAATGAAACCCAAAGGAAAAATAAAGATTGAAGGATTTAAATTTAGATATTTCTATTATTTATCTCTAAATATGGAAAAAATTAAGATTTAAATATGAGAATTCGTTTTGCTGCAAGCAAGAAAATTTTTTCTCTCAATTTTTACTTAAAAACTTGAATGTGCCATTAACAAACAACTTTTACGCATTTGTCATTTGCTTATCATAATTTGCTTATTATAATTTAAATTGAAAATACTATAGAATTTAAAAAAAGATAAACAAACATGGAAAATTTAATCATGATGCCAAACAGGAAATGAACATTTTTAGGTTAAGACCTTGAAAACTTTCAAGACTTAGTTGGAAGGCATTATTCTTTACATCATAAATGAATGCATGAAAAATGAATAAATACAAAAATAAATTAAATTTGACTGTAATTTTTATAAAAACTGCTTTATTTTTATTTGTATATTTTGGTTAAATCACCTTGAATAATTTTACATGCAGATGTTCTATAAGTGTAAAGAATAATGCATAGAGCACAATTCTGTCAGGTTTGATAGAACACTGATAGAACATTTGCATATAAAATTATGAATAAAAATAAAGCGTTTTTTTATAAAAAAAAATTGATCAAATTTCATTTATTTTTTTGTATTTATTCATTTTTTTAAATTTAGTATTTTAGCTTTTTAATTTTTTTTTTTTTTATAACCTGTACTACTTTAGTTTAAAATTCTGTGGAGATGATTAAAGTTGTTCATGGAGACCATTCCCCAATGATGGTGAAAAAAGTTAGTCTAGACCATTGTTGGATATGAAATTTTTTTGAAAATATGGAGACACAATTAATTCCACAAGATTTTAATTTGAAACCTTGTCACTTTAATTTTCACTTAGAATTTTTATCTTTTAGAAATATAATTTTTTCAAATGTTATCAAGATATCTACTTTAAACGATACTAATTTGTAATGTGTGTGCCGATCTGAAATTTTGTTTTCTAAAATGTTCTCGTCTTTTTATAGAAAAAGATTCATCCTTTGAAGAAGATCTCACTCGCTTTGTTTCCATACGCGAATAGCTTTTGGGAAGTTCTGGTGCTTTTTTTTGAACTGTCCTACATCTTTCATCGTTCGGATTGGCCAACTCCCGGTCTGTACTTGGCTGGTACCAAACTAACAACAATTTCACCAGAAATGGAATTTCTACCCAAAACACATTCTTTATATTTACTTTCTCCAATTCTCTTTCCCAGGTAAGCAATGACAACAACAAAAAACATCTAAAGCTTTTATTTTGTTATGTATCTAACAAAGTTCTGAATAAGATGTATGTATAGGTGTGTCTGCACATGTATCTAGAGAAGTATATATATATATATATATATATATATATATATATATATAAAGTGTCCATAAAGTTCGTGTGCACTTTACGAAATTTATAAATTTAAAGTGCACACGAACTTTATGGACACCCTGCGTGTGTGTGTAGATATATAGAAAATTAGGAAGTATATATATATATATATATATATATATATATATATACATACATACATACATACATACATACATATATAGGGTGTCCATAAAGTTCGTGTGCACTTTACGAAATTTATAAATTTAAAGTGCACACTAACTTTATGGACACCCTGTGTGTGTGTGTGTGTGTGTGTATGTATTTATATATATATATATATATGTGTGTGTATGTATTTATATATATATATATATATATATATATGTGTGTGTGTGTGTGTAGATATATAGAAAAATAGGAAAGAACACGTTAGGTACATAATCCGTAGTTCTTTAGTATTTTTGTTATTATTTTTAAAAATCAGTGCTCCATACAGAAGTAGAGCTTAAATTATAATTATTTTTAAAAAAATATGATTTCTTCACTACATAAGAGTTTTCATGTTTCAAAAACCTTAATATAATTATTAAAATTAAATTGAATTAAGGTATCAAGCCCTGTTTCATCCTCAAGTGAAAATTTAGAAATTTAGATTTTCAAAAATTTAGGAATTGAGATTCCTAAATTTTTGCTTGAGGATGAAACAGGTCTTGATACCTTAATTCAATTTAATTTTAATAATTATATTGAGGTTTTTGGCTCTTTTTTTTGAAAGATGAGAACTCTTATATATATCTTATAAGGTTTTAAATCTTTTGAAATTCTATATTAATTTGTACTGGTTAGGTGATATTGTTATTAAGTAAAAACTATATTTACTAATTATAAATGAAAAAGCTTACTACAATTCAGCAAGCCCCACTATTTTAAAAAGAATTTTGAATTTTTTGATGTGTATAAAAATTGCCAATTTTTGTAAATACATACATCAATATGCAACATTATCAGAAAATAAGTGCAGTAACTAGAGTAAATTTAATGCCAAAGTAACATTTTTTTCTCCTTCCTAAATTTCACTCTCAAATGTTTCTGCAACATTTTATAGTTTTAATGCACTCATCTCTTTCATTTGATATTCATATTTTTCAGTTCTTTTCCAAGACAAGTTGCTCGTCTTTGTCTTCAGTTATTGAATTTCATCTCATACGGACTGTCAACAGGTTTATCAATTGGAGTCTTTTTCCTTCAGTTCCTTGATTATTGGTACAATACTCTGAATAGCACCAATTCCCCAATTGCCTTAACAATTCAACCAATTCCTAAGAAACCCAAACCAGTAAGTTTCTCTCAGTTGTATAACATCATTTACTTATTATATTGTCTGTCTGTTAATGTCTTATATTGTATGTCAATTGGTATTAGGATAGGATAGATGATTTTTTTGTCCTTTTGAGATATTTTAGCAAAAGGAATAAATAACTGACAATATTCCAGATTGGTACTCTATATTCATAATGGGGGTGCTCGCAGATTAGCCTACAGGAATTAAATCATATATATATATATATATATATATATATATATATATATATATATTGATGCATGTTTCATTAAATAATATAGACAAGTTTTGTCTATTTATTTTAAGTGAGTTCCTTTCATATTGTCTGATAAACTTAATAACATTATCATTGAAAGACAAAAGGAAATCACCATATTGATATATGTTTTAATCCTATCTAAGCTTTCGGCTTACATAAGTCATTATCAAAGATGACAACTACATTTCAATATATCAAACAATACACGGACAAAACAATAATGATAGTCTGTTTTTGTTGCATGAAAAATTTCAAAGCAACGAAAACTCATGTATATGAGATGCAGTAGCGAAAATCGCATCGCAGCTTGTGACGTCACACATGACCATGTGAGAGTGAAAACGAGAAGTATTAAACCAATGGCTTCTGTTATCAATTATAGGCATTTAAGAATATTTGTGGAGATTTCATAGTTTATTTTGTTCAGATTAGGTTTCAACTGTTTTATGTATATAGCTTCAAGAATTTTTAGTTTTTGTTTAGTTTTTGTTTATTGTTTTCATGTTTAAGTATAGTTGTGTTTTCAACGAGGATTTTCCAGAATTGTGTACACGGCCAGGCATGTTGTTTAAATACCTAAAAATAAAATTTATATATATATATATATATATATATATATATATATATATATTTTTTTTTTTTTTTTCAACCATTAAAATCCCATCAAAAGTATTGCCTGATGAAAAATAATTACATGGACAAATACCACCCAGATAATTAGCGGATATAGTTGTAGACCTACCATAGGTTATTTTTGGACTATTTAGAAAATAATGATATTCAAAAAGATTGCACCTCTATGCGAAATTAGATTTTGGATCCTTTTTATGGATATAAAAATAGAAGCATACTGCTTCTCAGGGTTGAAAACAATTTCAGAGGCCAGTTCAATCTACATATGTGTACATACACACCCACACAATAGAAGATGACAGCCAGCAGCCATTGACTAAAAGACATTATGCTGACCATCATAAAGTAAGTCTGTCCACACATTCCATATCACACTATGAACACTTAATTACTTGATAAAACAAACTTTACTGCAAGGAAAATTCAACATTTTATTGTAATTTTATGTTTAAGTAAAGAATATATAAATGCCATTTCAATTGGTGATGTTCCGCTTCTGCTTTTCCTTCAGAGAATAACCATATTTATATTTCATTTAAAGAATGTTTTGTTGTTGTTGCTAAATGTTTGGAATCCTGACACTAAGATAATAAGAAAAACCTGTGTAGACAGATCTCAACAAGCCATTTGCTTATATGGAAATATTTGCCATTAATCGATCAAACAGCATTATTCTCAGTTGAAATTTATACACTTTTTCTTTGTTGGGAAAATCTTTATCAGGAAAACAGTTTATCGTGAAAATGGTCTTCTCATATGAGTATTTCAAGCAGACCGACTGTATTCATAATTGGATGATGGTGTATTAGGTGTTCCCTGATATGGAAATATATTCATTGACCAAACAGCGTTACTCTCAGTTGAAATTTATAAACTATTTCTTTTCAGGAAAATAAGCTTCCCAAGTCCTCTATCCCTCTTTCTAGCATCAATTGGAGTTTCCTTCCTAGTCTTTTGTTTAAGGTCATGTGGAAAGTAAACATTTTGATTATATAATTATTTTCCCTTCTAGTTCCATGTGCAATCCATTTTAGTTGATGCCACTGTTGGAAGTCTTCTTAATAACATATTCTCTGTACTTAATTTCTTGTATGTTTTGCTTAACAACACAAATCCTTTTATTGACATATGTCTATATCTCTGAGATGAGGTATTATGATTATTTACATTATTCAAACTGTTATCCTCATCTTCATTGGCATATTCACAATGTTTTGGGCATTGTACATGCCGGCCTTCTTCAGGTGTATATTGATCTGGGTAACTTACAGGGAAATAAGAACTAGACAAGATATCTCTAGACATGGGCAGTGGAATGAGAACAATCTACCCTGGTAGATTAAATAAAGGGTTTCAGTCTGGAAGTTTTATTGAGTTTCCATCCAGTTTTCTGAGAGGTTTTTTCTTAAAAACATTCTTCTCCCTTTCAGCGCATGTAATTTTAATTTCTTTTGTTTTTAATGTCTTAAAGACATGCAGTATGATGCTAGAATAGACATTGCCTGTAATTCACATTGGACATCAAAGATGAGTGTAGCAGAGGGTTGTCAGACTCAGTCGCTGAGTGGGGAAGCACCTGACCTCATGTTCCACTGGGCTTAGGTTGAAAAGATAAATTATATGAGACTGGCCGCTAAAAAGTCAAAGCAACACAAAGACAACATGAGACATAGTAAACTCAACAAATTTATTCAAACTCCTGCTAGATTCATTTTGCTCCCAGTATTCCTTTGTGGGACTGGAAGTGCTTACAATTCTCATAATAATCAACATTATTGATGTTGTTATAGACAATTCACACCTGCAATCCAATTTGCAGTCATGGGAAAGATTTTGTAATGATTACATAAACAACCACCCTAGGGCAATGTCAGACACATCCGTCTTGGGTATGACGATAAACTTCATCAGTGTCCTGGGTAAGACGATAAACTACATCCAACAACGACGCCTCTGATCAGGAGGTTTTGAGGAGCATGGAACTACCTCTTAATTGCTGGTGTTCTCAGGTTCACCCTGACCCGGGGTGATAGCACCTGTTAAGGTCTCAGCTATGGATAAATAGTTAACCCCCAAACTGGGGTCAAAACACTATGAAAGTATAGAAATAGGTTTTAATACCAGAAATACTTTGTAAAAAGATTATTACCAGCAACACATTTTTTTTTAAAAAATATATAACCAACAATAATAATCTTGTCGGCATTAAATAACCCATTATGGTTGATATGACATAAACCAAACAAAACCAAATTCATACACATTGCAGAGTATAAGGTCCACATATGCAAGGACTCTGAGGATTGCTTCACTCCTAAACTGGTCAGGAATACCTGGAGAAAAATTAAAGTGAATCAAACATGAATTAATGAAGATCCAAGTCTTGTGTTATCGTTTAATCGGTCTTCCCGATTCATTACAGATGTTAAAAACTATCTGAGTTATCATTGTTTACAAACAGGCTATTGTCATAATAATTTGGCCTTTCTACTCTCCAGCTTTCATCAGGTGCTAGTCCTGGGTATGATGATAAACAACATCTGGCAGCAAGGCCTCTGATCAAGAGATTGGAAGTTTTGAGGAGTGTGGAACCACCTCTTAATTTCTGTTGTTCCCGGGGTGGTAGCACCTGTTAGGATCTTAGCTTTGAGCAAATAGTGAACCCCAAACAAAACTATGAATGTATAAAAATACATTTTTATAGTAAAATCACTAACAGTACCTATTTATAGTAAAATTACCAGCAATACATTTTGTAGTAGAATTACTAACAATATTTTTATCACTAATTGAAGGCATGTAATTGCATTCAAAATATATTTAGTTAAATCCATGCAATTGTGTTCAAAATATTTAGATTTTGGCATTAAATAACCCATAGAGTTTGAAGTGCCACTAAACAAAATCAGCCAACCAATCATCCAACCTTCAGGGAATTTCAAACAGAACCCTTTATTTAATCTACAGGAGGAGATTGCCATTCGGCTGACCATGTCCAGGAATGTCTCATTTCGTTCTTATTTAGTATGGATCAATTATTGCTCACTCTGTTTTCACTGAATGTAAGTTTGTACTACTTGTCCAAAGGATTGAACTCGCAATTACTATGTCACCAACACTTTAATCCACTAGGCTGTTTTCCCATGGGACAATCCTGAGTGGAAAACTTAAACCTTTCTGCCTGCTGATGAGTGCTTCTGCTACTTGTCACACTTGATGATAATCATCAAGGCTTCTCTTTTCTACTGCTTCTTCTGTTGAATCCTTGTTAAAAACAAAATTTGAAATTTGTTTTATGTTTTTTTTTTTTTTTTCAGTATCCATTACCTCCAGGTTGTTCCTTTTCTACTTGTCCTCTGTGCATGAAGACAAGAACAAATGATACAGTGTTAAGCGTGTCTGGGTAAGTTCATTTTACATATATATATATATATATATATATATAGCTTGTCTGAAAATGAGCAAAGCATTTAATACTAATGAAAAAGTAGTCTACCTAGGGCAATGGCAGCTTTGTTCATCCACAAAGGACTCATTTTGGGACCTCACAAAAATATTCCAGCATCCCTTCCATTTTTTCAAAACAGTCTGCAAATTCCCATTTTGCAATCACCATCAACTGCCTTGTTGTCATCTTCTCCTTATTCTTGTCCTTGATCTGTATGCTGTTGAAAGATCCTACTGACTGCATCTCCTACACAGAGGTAAGACCTCACCACCATAAGCCACCTACCAAATACTCACAGGCTTAAATAGAAGCAACCAATATCTACCATTTTTTTCTGTCTAAATTTCTGAAATGAGTACTTATCATTATTTAAACTATTTACATGTGGACTATTGTCCTCATCTTTGTTGATGTTATCACAAAATTCTGTCTATTGTGTCAATCCAGGTAACCTATATGAAATTCCAAACTGAAGGGGTAGATTGTTCTCATTCCACTACCCATATCTAGGGATATCTCATCTAGTTCTTATTTCTCTGCACGTTACCCAGATCAATATATACCTGATGAAGACTGGAGGGTATAACAACAGAAACGTGATAACCAATGATGAAGACAATAGTCTGCATGTAAATAGCATAAATAACAACATAAACCAAGCAAATGCTTAGAGACTGAAATATAGACAATCTTTAACATTTTTTAACTTGAATTCACCCAATACAAGACTCGAGAGCCACTCAATGTAGAGGGTTACTGGATGTGGTATGTGATCTGAATGAAAGGGCAGGTGGCAGAAAGTGAAGAATAAGGATAAAGATAGATAACAACTGACCCTTGACTTGAAAACTTCAAGATTAACATGTTCAGGAAAGCACTCACGCGGGAGTCTGTTCTGCAAAGTAGCAGTTCTTAGAAAAAATCTGAATGGAACTTCCTTTTTACATTTGGACTATGGAGGAAATGAGAGTGATTCAACTCCCTGGACGTAACATGGCATGTCCTGAACTAATGGAACTAAAGAATGGAGTGCTCTTCTGAACATTTGCCATGGAAGTAGAAATATAAGGATAGGCTTGCAACATTGCAACTGTAAGAAAGAGTCTGCAGAATAGATATATAAACTCAAATATATATAACTGACTGATAAATTACCTGTCCCTGAACCAAATAAATGCTTAGACACTCAGTTTTTTTATTAAATGTTATTTTTAGTGGATACCCATGTTTAAGTAAACACTCTATTTATCTTAAATGGTATTTTATTTCATCTACCAGACTGAATGCTGTTTAAGATAAATGGAGTGGCTACTCAAATATGCGTATCTACTTAAAATAAAAAAAATATATGTTAGCTTAATAAATAAAAATCCATTAATTCTTTAGATATTATAAACTCGTATATAAATATTTACCTATTCCCAAACTAAGTAAATACTTGTAGTCTCAAATCTAATTAAAAAAACAAGAGACTTTCAGCATTAAATAGCCCAATAGGGTTGACATTATTTATATAAAGACAATAGACTGCATGTAAATCATAATGTCTCCTCATCCCAGAAATTATCAAATTAGTACAAACATGCCAATGAGAGAGTCAGAAAAAAAAACACTGTCAAAAATTGGCACAAATGTTGAACCCACTGACATTCCTATAATAATGTTGAGACCTAAAGCTAGTGGTACCGGTTTTATCAATGAAGACATTGATCAGTTCCAGGAAACCACAAAGGCTAGTGGAAAAACCAGAGTACACCCTTGTAAGGGAAAGGATTTTCCACACCCACTGGAAGAAACATCAATTTCAAAATGGACACTCCAAACAGACCAAAAGACTACCATGCAGATTAAAACTTGACTCAGACAAATAGAGAATCCAACATGAGGACAATAGTCAAAATGTAAATAATTAAGATTCCTCATCTCCAAAAATTCAGGCGGAAAGGATTCACATGTAAAATCAGCAAACCTAATTCATCCACAGTCTGAAATTTCTTCCTTTTTAATGGTGATTTTAGTTTTAAGAAAACCCCAGAAGTCAGAGTGTTGAATGATTAGCCATGGTCAAATGCAAAATAAATAATAGAACTGTCGAACAAATGAAATTAACAAAGTTTGCAATAAAAAGCAAAAGGAACAGGGCAAAAATGAAATAATATCAAGTAAGCAAGCAAAACAATGTATGCAAATCAAATTCACAGGTAAGAAGGCAAAAAGTTCACAAACTAAGAATTGGTGCCAACACACAAAAGCAAAGTCAGACAATCGAATGCAGTGGTCTGTCTTCTAGATAAGGCAAATCTGGACTGAATCATGTTAAACTGCAAACTAGCCTATTTTAGTGGCTAAGAAAAATATACCCAGCATGCATTTGTGGACTTCTGCCTATGAAAGGGAAGGGGGAAATGTTTTGCTGTCATTCCTAATATAGATTGAAATCAACACAGAGGAAAGCAGATCTATAAACTGAGGAGGTGCTGACAAGACTGAGTAATGTTTTGTCAAGTCAACATATTCAAAATGGTTGGATACTTTCTGAACAGTCAATGGAATCCCCAGATAACAACTTGCATACTCTGAAATACTTCCAGAACAGGGATTGCATTAAGTGGATTCCTGGGCAAGTTTGAAGCTTTGGTACCAAAATTTTATCTAGGTATCATTCATTGAATCATCCCTGAAATCCTTCTTAATCATTTAAATAGTCTTTGTCAACAGCTAAGACCCACATTAGGTTTATAAAATTCATACACAAATGTCCTCAGTAGATAAAGGTGTTGGTTAGATCTAGTGACAGGACCCAAAGTGTGTGAGTTCAATACCCGGTTAAGGCAGTGGAGAACTTTCAGAGGGAAATTAACAGGAGATAACTGATAACTGACATCCATTAAACATGGCACGTGAAACTAGAACAGTCTACCCCAGTGAGCGAAATAAAGGATTAATTTCGACATTCCAACCACCTGAAGAAGGTAAGAAGGCTGGAGCGTACAATGGCTGAAACGACAAAGATGTGGACAACAGTCCGAATAATGTAAATAGCGTACATAATACCTCATCTCAGAAATATAGACAGATACTGAAAGACCCACCTTGTTACATCCACAGGGTTGAATCACCCTCATCCCCTCTATATTCTATTGGCAAGAAAGAAGTTCCACTCAGACAGCATCCTCATCAGAATTGCTACTTGGAACAGGCTCCCATGTGGATGCTTGAACACTACAATCTTAACCACTCCAAGTTTATCTGTCCTACATACCCTCATAATCTTCATATTTTACTTCCGCCTCTTAGATTTATATCACAGATTTCATTCAGTAACTCTACATTGAGTGGCTCTTACACCTTGTATTAGGTGAACATTAGTAAAAAATAAAAAAAATAAAATGATGCCCATGTTTCAAGCAAAATCTAATGCATATTCAATCTGGATATGATATTCACAAAGTACAAACTTTCTATGTGGTGTCTAACTGCTGACTGAGTAACCTCACAGGAGAGTCTCTGTTCACATATGCACAGTAAGGTAAGTATTGGTTGCCAAGTTATATCAAGGCCACACAACTCTGGTTTTCAAAATTGTACAGAAGAAAATGGCTACTTACTTCGTCAGTCAAAATGCATCCATGTTTGTAGGTCACCAAAGATGCAAATCTGTTTCACTCCTGGCCAATCGTAAACATCATGAGTTGAATACACTGCTTTAAAAACTGCTTATTTTTCTGTCACAAGTGATTAGTAATTTTTTTATCAGAAATTCAAATAGAAATTGAATTTGAATGTTTATATTTTTCACAAGTGGTAAAATTTATTTAGTTTACACTTCCCTTCTCCTGACAGACAAATCAAAATCTTACAAAATTTGTATGTTTCTTGAAATTTATTTCACCCTTTATTTCTCATATAATTCTACTTGTTCCTTAGTTTGTTAACATGTATGTTACACAATGCCAATACCTCATAAATAATAGCCTATTCAGTTTTGATCGGGAGAAAATGTGGCAAAGATATATCAGGCACTGTTTGGTTTTAGTGAGAAAGAAAGAGAAAGAAAATAGAAGAGGTGATAATGCTCTCATGAATTTAATATCTGCTTCAGTGAAATGGAAAATCTTTTCATTTGTACCCTCTTACATTTTTAATAACCTACATTAATACTTATAATTGTTATTACAATATTTTGTTAAAATTGTTAATCTCAAATATTTAACCAATGTAATAGAATTTTCACAGGTATTTTATGCTTGTAGAATTTGCAAGGGACTGATTCAATCTCTAAATTAAGAATTATAATTCATCAAAATGCAAATTGCAAAACCATGAAATTTTCACAGGTACTATTAGTAAAATAAATTCTTTTTATAAGCTGCAGAAAATTGACATGTTCTGAACAAGTGAGGAAGTGAAGCCATATTCAAGTTAGTTTTAAAAAGTTTATTCACTTGATTTGACAGAAAACATCATTTTGCATCAATTATAAAAAGCCATAAATCGAATTTTTCTTTCTCAAAATGTTTGACAATTTTTTTCTTTTTTCTTTTCAGTTTTGTGTTTTGCTATCCCTGCATTTATGACCATGTGAATGTCAATCATTGCTGCCCAGTAACTCAATATCCAGCCAATGTTCAACACTTGGTGAGACTCTTCTCTTCAGAGTCATAAAAAAAAGACTGATATTCCTGTGATCCACACTCTGTCTAAACTTAGAAACCTTTGCCATGTTGACAGATGAGGCCAAGAATTTGGTAAATTCCATTTTAAAAAGTCATTATTCCTGATATTAGAAGCAAATGAATTAGAGACTGCACTCTTCTAACAATTTATTTCTAAAATATAAATTGTCTGTATTCTTGGAATAAGGAATTCTTGAGTGCATTCTTTTCTTTTCCTTTCTTTTCAAAATGGCTTCTTCAGTTTTTTTGATAACTTTTATTCAGGATCTTTCTTTTTTTAAGAAAATTTGAATTTTTTTTTCTTTAATCATTTCACCCCAAGCAAGGTGATAAAGCCACTAAGATTAAAGGTTTAGTCAGAGGGAAAGAAACGAAAAAAAAACGTTTTTGATGTCTCTCCTCAGTAAAGTTTTCTTAGTTTTCTTTTCTTAGTTATTTTGTCCCATCAGATCCACTTTTAACATAAATTCATGTGAACCATAGAGTTCTGCACATTTTTTTCTGAAAACCAAATTTTTAAAATCATTGGGAACATTAACCTCATAGCTGAAGACACTATTTACACTGGGGGCTGGAGCAAAGAGTGGAGAAACAGAAAGAAAACAGCATGGTGACATCAAAAGAGAGTGTCTGCACATGCATTCATCATAATCAAGACTGTCAGTCTCATGTGGGCCTGTACAGCCATAACAGATGCAATGCCTCTATCAACAGTCTTTGGGTGCAGATCCATGGTCTTATCAAATCAATGGTTGACACACACACACACACACACACACATATATATATAGTACAGGTAATAAATCTGTTGGTATATAATTCAAGTGGATCCTAATAATATCAAATATTAAAACTGATCCACAAAAAGAGCTCAATGTATTTATTATAACAGAGCATATAAATTACACAACAAAATCCAAAATTACCTCATATGGGGGGGGATCTATTTCAACCGACAATAACTACATCAGTCTTATTCAACCCCAGTGTATAGACTGTGTTCATGTTGGATTTAGAAATTTAACTTTAACAGCAGTCAAAAAATAGATTCAGAATTTATCTGTTGCGATGTTTCAGTCAGACGAAATGCCCGAGTTGGTGGTTAGGTGAGGGTGGAAGGTATTAGCCTTAAAGAGAAAAGGTTTTTATAAAATTAACCCTTATGATATTAAATTGGAAGAATGAGGTGTTAATTTGAAACTAAACAAGGACCGAAAAAGGGAGTTTTATAAAAAAAAATTTTATATATATAAAATGTTAGGTTCCTATTTAAAAAATAATAAATTATACTTAAAAATGAGATATATTAAAAAGATTAAAAATAAGTCATATTTAGATAATTTATATTAAATTTAAGTAAGAATATATTTTAAAAAATTTTATATTAAAGAATTAAGAATAAAAAAAATATTATACGATAAAATAAATACATTTTTAACTTTAAAGTAAGTTAAATCAAGTTATATTAAAAAAACCAAACCATACAAAGTTATATTTAAAAATAATATATATATATATATATATATATATATATATATATAGGCAAATAGATAAATTGATTGGTTGGAACAGAGAAAACAGCCTAAGTCAATGATCAATCATTTTTTCTGGTGGGCATTCCTCTGATAAATGAATTCCTTACTTTGATCTCTAAACATTAACTGCCAGGTTCACATAAATCAAAAGGTTGATAAGCCATAAAAAATCAAATCAATCAAGTAATCACTGAAATCAGACAATTCAGATCCTCAAATCTCATTTCAAACTGATCTTCAATCGGATGCCAGAATAAAAATAGACGTCTGCATTCTGTCATCATTTTCTGTTATAACAGAACCTCTCGGCTGAAGTAATTAGTATCTATATTCATTATTACTAATATGAAAACTTTAACTAAGGTAAAAATTGTTCAAGAAACTCTGGCATATATTACTTTGTGGTCTGATCAGTTCAATTTAATCATTTTAAAATCAATAATGTCTTAAGATCATTTCGCAGGGAACATTCATTTTTAATCATTTCACCCCAAGCAAGTTGATAAAGCCACTAAGATGCAAAGGGTTATTGAGAGTGAAAGAAATTGAGAAAACATTATTGAGGAGAAAGATAAATAATAAATAAATAAAAAGAATAGGATTCAAAGACAGGAAATGACGATTGATGTTGCATATAAATTGTTGGAGGTGGTCTGTAACAGAGAATTGGGTCAACCCAACTAGAGACCCTGAGTTGTGTTGTGCAGTAAGCACCAAGAATTATGTTCTATTCCACAATTGGCTGTTGAGAGAGGACATTCTACTTAGAGTAGGTGGCACTGACAAAATTTGTATAGGACAGGTATTGGCCAACAGTCAATGTTAGCTGTTTACAAAGAACCGGTATCAACAAATATAGTGGCTACTTATAGGAAACAACTCCAGAACAAGGGAGGTAATCAACATTTCCCGTCTTTTATTTGTTGTCATGTTTTTTTAATGTTCAGGGCTAATGTTTCCTTGCTGCAATATATCACATAAACTCTCTGATGATGCTGTAGCTTTAGTCAAGGGGTCAACCAGTTGATTTCTGGTGTCAATCAACTTTACCTCATTGATTTCTCTCTTTGGCATTATATCCTTTATAATTGCTTCATCCAATATCCACCTCTCTTCTTCAAGGGTTCTGGAAGAATATAGTGAGTCAATGAGGAATTTGTTGTCAGTAAAGCATTTGATTTGAATTTTGCCTTCACTTCCCTGAAGAATTTCTTCCAGAATTGTTTTCAGGCAGAATGCTGTTTCACTTGCTTCTTGTAGGTCCAAACATTCAGCTATTAGTGAACTCCTTACGACCTTCCTTATTTTTCATGATTGCCAATGAATAGCACATGTTCCCTTCCTTGTCAGCAATATCAAGTATCCCCCCTTAAGAGGCACCACCCAAATGGTTTTTTAAAAGAAGCACCAGAGAATGTTTATATAGATTTTTCCACATGTTTAATTTCTTAAAAGTCAAAGACAGTCTATTCTGCTTGACTTTCAGGATAACTTTGTTTTCTCTGGATTTATCCAAGAGAGACTTTGGTGTCCCTTAAACTGTTACTCAATTAGCAAGTATCAAAGGATATATCTGGTCTTGTTTGATTTGCAATCCAGAGCAATTGCCCAGTAGCTGACCAAAACTCATTCTTTTCCCTCTTAGACTCCTGTTTTTATTTCTACTTCCTTCAAGCCATATTGGTTTGAAGGTATCTTCATTTTTTGATTGATTCAAGAGAATATCTTCTTCATTCAGTTGATTAATATGAATACCAAGGTATTTAAAAGCTTCCTGCTGTTCATTGCTGATATTAAAATTTTGTCTCAATTTATTTATTACTGAAGATTTATATCGATCAGTTCCAGCCCAAAAGAAATCATCCGCAAATCATCTACATGCAGATGTCCTTCACAATGGTTGAAAAAATAACTTCATCATATCTACTCCTTCTCATCTGTAATGAAATCATCTCCCTAGAAATATGCAAATACCACATTCTTGCTACTTCAGTGAGACAACTGCCAAATTTTATTTGCATTTGCCTCAGGTGGTGGCTTCAGAAATACATTTCTGTCAACTTTTTTTCCTTGTATGTATGCACTTTGTATGTCCAGCAAATTGATTTTCCATCTTTTTGATACTGTCACTGCTATTATCACCCTAAGATTCATCTTTGAGCAGAGAGGAGAGTCTTTATCTTCAAAACCTCTAGCTACTAATCTAGCTTTTATTTTACCATTTTTTCTGTAGTTTAAATTTGTGTGACTGAAAAAAATCCTTAATGGTGGGATGGGTGATTCTGAGAGACAAAGGTTTTTCAGGCAAGCCACTCGTTTTTCTCATAATCTTGTTTACAAATCACAATTGGTGAGACTAATGCAAAACTTTGCACACAAAAGCACAACCACTTGACTCACCAGTATCTCTTCAGCATTTCTCACTCATCTCACAAAGTCTCTGAGCTTTGAGAACAAGTCGTTCTTAAATGGTAGCAGCTAACAGGAAAATATGGATATAACTGGTGTTGACAAACATGTCCACATGCGATCTGAGGCCACTTTTGCATCTATACTGACAGGCATTCATGACATGTTCTGTCGTCACCATTCTCAGTGAGATTAATTTCTAGCTAATGTCTTCAACTTCATTATATGCATTGTAATCTCTCCATCTTTTGAGCTCTTTAAACATTGCCTCTAATATTTCTGGAAAATGAGATGTTGGCAATCAAAATTTCTTTGGTCTCAATGTCCTTCCATTCCTTGACAGTTTTCTTCCAATCAATACTTAAGGCTTTATCTAAGTTTTCATCAAAAACATTTACCCAATCAGCATAATTATGTATTGCTTTATCTGCCTGGAAAATGATGGCATATTCAGTCCATTCATCATTTATCGTTCTTGCTAAAATGTGTTGGTTGCTTTTAGGTAGTTGGCTTCCTAGATAGAAGATGTCACTTGAGACTTGTACCTCATCATGGTCCATAGAGTCTTAAATTACTTCAGGTTGGTTAGAAATACTGATTACATTGATTGCTGATAATTCATCAAGTCTCACTACAGATTGTTTCTTGAAAATGTTTTGTCCTTGCTTGGTTAGTTCTTCTTCTTTGCATTAGTGTTGGTTTCAAATTCCACATTCTCATACATTAAGAAGCTTTGATGAACCCTTATGTACACTGATCCATATCTGACCTTACATTCTGATCACCCAACCAGGTCCCTTCCATGCTGGCATTCACTCTCTATTGTAGTAAAAATTGTAGAGAATTACCTCAGAGATCCAAGAATGCTAGAGTAACATAGCCTAAATGTGCTTATAGGACAAGCAAATTGCTAGCAAAGTAAACCGTCTGAGCATTGGTGCTCAAATGACAAGGCACATGCATCATTGAGTCAGATCAAGGTTGGCAGCATGCCCAATATGCAAGTTTTTTGGCTTGTCAAGAACATAAAAAAGGTGAGTGTTTG